CCGCGCACGCCCTCGTCGTCGGCTTCGGTCGAGGAGGAAGAGCAGAAGGTGAAGGAGGGCCTCCTCAGGCTAGCGGCCATGGGCGCGGAGGTTCCGGGGTGCGGCGCCCACCCGGGGCATGGAGGCAGGGTCGGCGGCCGCCGGGGGAGGGAGCGAGCCTAGGGCGGGCTGGACTGAGGGGCCGGGCTCCCCACGCCGAGCGGGCGCGGCTCAGTGACGCGACCCACGGCCGCCGCCCCAGCAGACCCCGCGCGCGTCGGCGCCCTGAGACGCGCTCATTGGACGAGCCTCCCCGCCCCCTCGGCCTGCGGAGGTGCTCATTGGACAACTCAACCCGGAAGTTGGCCGAGAGGGGGGTGCGTAAACCGAAATTGACGCCAGAGAGCACCGCGATGCTTTCTGGGAATTGTAGTCTCAGGGCGGCGTTGGGAAGCCGCTGGGTGCCCTGTGGCCGCTGGTTCCCGAGGTTCCACAGCGGTAATTAACTCAGGGCGGAAGAGCCGGCGGGATACCAGCGCTGGAACGGAGGGCAGAGGATCCCGCCGGCCGACGCAAGTGTCCGTGTGACAGTCAGCCGGCGCTCAGTCTCTTTCAACGACTGAACAGGTGTTTATTTGGGGCGCCCCCCTGCTCCAGGAACCGTGCACTGCGCGCAGATGCGCCTCTGAGATGCGAAGGGAGGGACGTGCGGAACGCTAGCAATGCAAAACTATGCGTCAGTGAAACTGAATGAACTGGAGCTCTCAGTGGCAAACATGGACGGCTGAATTCCAGAGGCATAATATTCAGTGAAAGCAGGAAATACTACATTTCTGTAAAGTTCAAGCAAAACTAATGTTCTTTAGAGAAGCATGCATATACGGTAAAAATAGTATACGAGAAAGTAAAGGAATGGGAGGGACAGGAGTCGGGATATTTGTGACGTTTAGCGAGTGGGGTGGGTAAGACACTGGAAAGGAGAGGGAGTCCGTCCACATTCCAAGTCGGGTTCCCATGTGCTTGTTTCCTTGCACAGATTCAAGGCGCTCATTTATGTTTTGTACTGGATTTATTCTAAAACATTTTTTAGATAAGGAAGTGTGTATATTCCATTTCATTATCTGTCAGGAGCAGGGGATAGACATGCTCAAACTTTAAGAACCTTGGATCACACACACACAAGCAGAATAAACAAATAACAACAAAAGCCCACTACAAGTATCTTGGGCCAAGATCAGGTACCAGATGCTTGCTTAGTATTCAATGGAGAGACAGGAACTCATTGATATCCAAAGTAGCAATGACAGTGGGGAAGGCTGAGCTTGGGGAGTTTTGCCAAGGAGCACGGTGATGAGATGAAGTACTCCACTTTGAGTGGTCCTCTGCCGAGAGGGCAGTGCAAACCACTGGACAAGCATGGTCTCCTAGCTTGGCAGTGCATACCATCCGTGGGTGTAGTAAGTGTCCCATGGCAAGCAGAATAAGGTGTCGATCCCACAGGTGTGGCTGAGGGTGAATGGAAGAAGGTGGAGGCAGATACTCATACACCTGCGTGTTTGATGAGCAAAGAACACTCTGTTCTTTGCTGAGTCTTTGAATCAGAAAAAGCTGATGATACGGAGGACTTTGGGCAGTGTTTCACTGAGGGCCACCCTTAAAGGCTTCCCATGGGCAGGGCCGGCTCATTCCGTTTAAGCTCCTGGTTAAAGGGTTAGAACTTTATGACGGATGGGTGGGGCCTGGCATGGCAAGCTTAGCCATCATCGGCTGTGTGATGTCTCCAAACATGAGGCTACACTGAGTGGTTGTGGACCACGTTCCAGCCAGAGAAAGGTCACTGCCGACTAATCTGCACTCTCTGATGAAGTCAAGAGGTGTGAAACGAGTTTAAAACCCCTGTGACCACGAACATGAGAGGAAAGAGCTGGGTGTTCACCGTGAAACATCTCCCCCAGGGGCTGGCATGCACATTCGTTGCTTTGGTCATTCCAGATCTCTTTCTTCTGTGACAACAGCAGGATTTTATTGTGGAGACCCAAATGCTCCTTTCGGGCCTGTGGACCAGGTGAGGCTCCCTGCCTGACCCTGGGCGGCAGGGGAAGGGGGGCTGTGGAACCTTGCCGCGTCCTGGCCAATCACACACAAAATTACCCCAGCTGCACTTCAGGATGTGTGTGGGTGGTGGTGGTGCCCAGCTTGGTCCAATCGTAATGACTCCCAGGAGTTACATGGGATTCGTTAAGTCGGGAAGAGCTTTCTTTTCTGCTGACTTGAACCTGGGAAGACATATCTTGAGAGCTACTGAGAACCAACTTGCTACCTCATGTAGCCTGAGAATGATGCGAATGGTAAGGCTAACGGAGTCGGGAGCACTGTGTGCTCACTGGGTTTGGAGTCCAGGGGCTGATGGGAAAATCACCAGGCCTGTGGAGCTGGCCAATCAGAAGCAGCTGAATTCAGGAAGATGAAAGGAACCGCCATCTGATGTTTGCAGCTTTCATCCAGAGCTGGGCGTAAACCATCCCTCTCTCCCTCCCATCACCGCCTCAGTCAAAGCCTCGTCTTCCTCCTTCGCTGGTCCTGTTTTCCAAGGTTTTGGCCTGTGATTCCCTCACAAGCTTTAAATAGCTACGGCCTGTTGAAAAGCCATCTTTCCTCCACGGAATTGCTTTTGCACTTTAGTCAACAGTCGGTTGGGCATATTCGTTGGGGCCATTTCTGGGTTCTTCGTTCTGTTCCATTGACCTGTGTGTCTGTCCCTCTGCTGATAAACTACAGTCCGGGTTTCTGTAGCTCTATAATCGGTTTTGAAACTGGGTACACGGATTGCTGCCGCTTTATTATTCTCCCTCAGAATCGTTCTAGCTATTCGAACGTGTCTTTCCATATGCATCTTAGAATATCATGCTGAATTTCGAGAAGAACTGCATTAAGTACCTCTATCGATTCGGGGAGGGTCGACACCTTCACTGCGTTGAGCCTTCCGACCCGTAGACATGGTTCGCCTTCCCATTTACTTAGCTCTTTGATTTTTTAAAATCAGCCTTCTGTAGTTTCCAGTGTACAAGTCCTGGATATGTTTTGTTAGAATTAAACTAAGTGTTTTATTTTTATTAATAACTATAAATGTCCTTTTAATTTTGGTATCCACATGTTCATTGCCAGTATATAGAAACACAACTGACTTTTATTTACATTTATTTTATATCCTATGGCATTGTTAAATTCATTCTCAGTTCTAGGAGGAATTACTTTTTAATAACTTCCTGTGGCATAAAGCCTGAGACTAAGATTCACTATTAATAGCTGTCCTGACATCTGGCACAATCGAGGGTGCCTCGAATGGCCTTATTGTAATTTCTCTTCTCCTCCTTCTCCCGCAGAGAAGGTCTCCTAGCCAGACAACCCTTAACACGGGGGCCAGACGCAGTGCCTGCCGATGCCCAAGCAGCAGGCCTCGGTCTCCTGTAGTCCACAGAATCATTCTACAAGCCCACCGCACCCTCCCGCGGGGAAAGGGCTCAGCCCATCTTCCTGTTACTGCAAAGTCTGCCTCCCGAGCCCCTGCTTGTTCAGCCTCTTCCCCTGGCTCTGCCTGGCGTGTGGGCTGTGAGTCCACAGGACTCATAAACTGTTCAGCATTCAGGCAACCCCATAACCGTAGGGTGGAAATACCCTCCCCACTGACGGGTGAAGAGGAGGCTAATTAAACACTTCCGGTCTGTACCTTTTGTAAAGCACTCTCCTGCTATGATTAGGCTCATGGGCCCGAAGTTATTTGTGTCATACTCTGGGGTTTGCAAGAAGTCTGGGGTGGCTGGAGGGTGGCCTATGTGAGGGTGACAGGAAGTAGGGCTGCAAAGGCAAGACCTTGACTAGTCTGTTAAATTTAGACTGCAGGCAATGGGGAACCCCAAAATAATTTAACGCGGGGAAGCGATATCAGATCTTCATCTGAGAAAGTTCCCCCACACAGCGGAGCGGAAGACGGATTCAAGGAAGAGCAGAACCAGCCGGATCAGTGAGGCAGGGGTCTCCTGGACCAGTCCGTGCAAGAGTCAGGAAGGGGTGGCCCAGAACCGTGAATACAGAAAGCAAGGGAAGGAACGAAGACACACTTAGTAGTTGATGGACATGAGGCGGGTGAGACGGAGCGATCGGCCGTGGCTCTGAGGCCTCTTGCTTGAAGAAAGCCATGAAGACCATCCATTCCTCTTAAAGGAATGGCCGAGGGTGTTGGCCAGAGGCATTTGCTAGGCTTTTGGGTGGGAGCTGCTCAGATGCTGACCAACGAGAGTTAAGTAAATTGGTATACATCCGCACAACGAACTGCTGATTTTGGAAAGAATTAGGTGGAATTCAATTCACATTTGGAAAGATCTCTAAGGTGTAGCGTATTTTTTTTTTTTTTTTAAATCAAGTCATGGAAGAATCTACCGTCATCCATACAAATGTGCACGTACTTCTAAAAGGCCTGAGAGCCCGATGGAGTGTTTCCCCAGACGACGAATGAGGAGTGGGACTTAGCCAGAAAAACTGAATGTCCATTTTTAAAAAATTTTATGCAACTTGTACTTTTGTGCCGTTCACCTCCCCCCCACCCATGGGCAGTGCACTTGTGTATTTTATATCACTTTTGAACACTAACAGAAGCTGATGTTTTCATGACCCAAGGCATCCGCAGATACCTGCTCCCTGTAAAAAAAAAAAAAGCATCTGACTGCAGCCTCCAGTCCCACTGACGCCTGCTCTCATGAGGAGCCAATTTTAAGCTTGGTAAATACCTTCGCAGTCCTTAAACACACTTTTGAGCATTAGGAATATTTTTATGAAACAAAGTAAAACTGCAAACAAATATGTGACTTTTTCCAGAAGGCCGCTGCTGGTTTAAGGTGCCGTGTTGCCTCTGGCTTGGGAATCGTCGGATCTGGCTTCTGAAGGGTCTTTTGCCGCAGCTTGAGCTCTCTTGTCAGGTGACAGCGGCACAGGTGTATCTGTGGGCAAAACAGTGGGGACAGTGTTTGAAAGAAGATGACCCGACCCACATTTTCGGGGCCGTGTGGGTCAGTGAGGGACAGCTGTGGGACAGGGGCCCCTCTCC